GGGACCCGCTGTGCCCGGCGTCACCCCCGGCCCGGCGGGAGCGAGGGGGCTCCTCACCAGTGTCCGCACGTCGGGTGCGCGCAGGTGTGGGTGAATCAGATTACACTGTGCATCTTGGAAATAGGGTATTTTAGTATCTCTCGAGCCGCTTTGCGATGTACGCACTGAACTTTATAACTAGTTGGCTACATCGAAGTACGTGCAGCTATAAAGGAACAGCGTTTTATTGAACTGGAGAATTCAAATCAGCTTCCTTTAGCCATATAATTCTGCTAAAAGTAAGTGTCGTCCTGCAGGTGATGTTATTTAACCTGCGAATTCAAATCAGCTTCATTTAGCTACATAATTCTGGTAAAAATCAGTGACAGGTAAGAATTTACCTCAGATTGCTTAGGACAATCCAATTGCTTAGGATTGCTTGACTTTCAGTTATCATCCAGAAGCACGATAGCTCTGCTGGAGGTGCGCTCATGGGTTAGATAACTGTATGAGTCAGGGGTATGTGTTTGTTTACGTGTGTGCTTAATTGCTTTCTGAAAGTGAGTCTCTTTCCTTGCAGGTTATTACCTTGGTATGTGCTTTGCTGCACCTGAAAAACATCTTTGTTTATTCTACCTGGCTTCAGAAGGATGGAAAACTTTCTTCTTCTTCGCTGTTCTCTTGCCAGCAGTCACCAGTGCCCTGGCATGTTATTGGTCACGGAAAGGTTGGAATAATCACCCGTTAGCCCGAACTCTTGCGGTTCATGCTCTCCCGCAGTCAGGCTGGAGGGCAGTAGCTTCTTCCATCAATACAGAATTTAGGAGAATCGACAAATTCGCTACTGGAGCCCCAGGAGCAAGGGTTATTGTTACAGACACTTGGGTGATTAAAGTGACCACCTACTGTTTACACGTTGCCCAGCAGCAGGACATTCATTTGACAGTGACAGACTCCAGACAGCATGAACTCACGCCAAACTCAAATATGCCTGTGCAGTTCCTCACCATCCGCGTTGCCAGTATTAATCCCTACGTGAAGGCATTTGATATCCGGTAAAACAACTACCCTCTTGCGTTACACATGTGCAATTTGATAGTGCTAATGGAGTGCTTATCTGGCAGATCTGAAGACTCCTTGGATCTTGTCTCTTCCTTCTTGCTCCCTGCCTGGTGTTCAGAGATGCTGCACGTGCAGTTCTGCCAGCAGTGCAGCGAAGAAAGATTGTTTAGAAAGATTCATACACCTACAGAATTGAATGCACAGTGGTTAAACAGAGGGACTGCCCTGTTCAGTCCGCTCTTTGGAAGAGGATTGTGGAAAGAAGTAATTGGAGAAAGTTAGGTGAAAGATGGAGAACAGGAATGAAAGGGACAATATTTGGTCTTCCAAATTTTGGGGAAGCAGAAATAGTTATTTGTCTAAAACTGGCTGTTGTTCACCCTTGACTTTTTTTTCTTCTGCTTAAGGCTCATAATTTTATCACTGCTCAAAAGAGTTCTCACTGAGCTGCTGCAAGCCAACTGCCCTTAAAGCAAGGAAGTAATTTTGATCTGTTTCTGATTTATGTGTTCTAGCAGTAAATCATAGCAAACGTGCTGTGAACTGTTAGGGCTTGCTTTCCAAGGGCCTACATTATGTTTTACAGCAGCTTCTCTGTAGGTAGGCAAAAGTACAAGTTCTGCAGAAACCTGTGACACTGGGTAGAAGGGTGCTAAGGTCTTTGTTGTCATCGTGTGATTAAAAGGAGTACACGAAGCCATGCTAGTGCTCCTAAAACTATAGATTTGAAAAGGCGTTTGAGTGTCTGTTTGCTGTAAATTTGTATGTCAGCAGCATGTATTTACTAGGTAATTAAAAGCAGACAGATCACCAGACTTGTAGGTGAGCAGAAGGATCCTGGCAAGCATGAGGAAGGCATAGAGGTGGTTGCGTTAGATATCCAGGTGAACAGAATTCAGAACGAGAGGTTAGTTAAGGAAAGTGTGACAATCCTAAGAAAAAAGGAGACTTTTATAGACCTGTGAGAGCGGTGACCAAATAAGTATGAAGCAACTAATTATTTTCTTCTGTGAGTACTTCAGTGCCAGAGTGATAAAACTACATCTCCAGCAGAGAAAATCATGGCTTCTTTGACAATTCCTTTTAGGGAAAAAAAAATCCAACCCCCTAAACTTTATTTTGTGGCTAAACAGAATAGCACTGAGAACAGTGTTTAAAAGTTCTTATAATAAGATGTGTCAGAAATAGCAAATCTCTGCTAGAATGCAGTCATACAGGATTTAAGGAAAGTGCCATAGGATAAAATTCCCCTATTAAGGATATAGGATCATTGTATATGTCCAGAATCAGAATTGGATACAGTGGGATGTTTCTGGAAGAAAAATGCTTTTGTGCAGGCAGGCCACATTTCTCTCCGTGTTCAATGCGAATTTTTCCTCTGGATAGAAAGGTCTCTGTGATTTGCAGAGGTAGCATCTGTTAACAAACAACATTATCCTATAGTAGTTAAAACAATGGAGACCACCATTGAATGAGGAGTTTCAGGGCGATATTCCCAGGGCTTCTCCGTGAAAGCTGTTTAATGAGTGGAAACATCGACCTGGGGAGTTCTGAATCTACAGTTCAGAGCTGTTACATTAAAAAGGAGTAACAACAGTCGTGTGTCGCTACAGGATCGGCACAAGGTCTCACGTGCCACTTGAGGTCTGTGGACCTCGCTTAGACTTACTTTAGCAGAAGCATCCTACTGTGAAATGCAGATTGTTGCAGCCTTAAATCAAAGTGTAAGTCACATTCAGCAGCTGTTTGTATCCTTTGTGGAATTTCAGGTTTTATTTAAGGTTGTATCGTAAAAATCACATAAACTGGTACTGACTGGCATTCTTCTGATACTTACGTGCACTATATTGCGTGGTGATACATGGCACATGATACAGCTCCAATTTCTGTCCTCAGGAGTTTATAAACTAGAATTTAGGTATGGTGTGAGTAAACGGGCATTAAAAAGGTGGACAGAAATTGTGCATGCAGTACCGTATGGTTTATGGATGATGTATGTACCTGTATCGCATTTGGTCATGCCGATTACTTCAAAAGCCTGCCTTTATTTTTGTATGATGTTCAGCTAATCTCTGGTGTGTCCTGTCAGTGATCTGACACAGGTATGAAGGAGGACAGTGTATTCAGTTGTCCAAATTGTGTCAAGAACAACAACTAAACAGCAAAAGAAAACAAAATGCTCACTGTGTGTTTATGCAGACTAATATGTAACAACCTAAATAGCTTTTCTGTAGATTCACTTTTCTGATGTTCACCTCTGCAATGTACCATCAAGGTATTTGAGTGGATAATCATGGTAACGTTTTGTTCCATCTTTCCTTCTTCAGGTTGAACTCCACGGAGTATGGGGAGCTCCGAGAAAAGCTCCGTGCTCCCATCACCAACGCAGCTAATGTTGTGATCCATCAAAGCCTTAGTGATTTATTTCTAGAAACCTTTACATCTCTGGTGGAAGTTAACCAGACGTATCCTGTTCCAAGCACTCAGGTGAGATTTTCTATCCGTCTGAGACTGTACTAGTTATATTTTTCAATATAGGTGAGCCTGTGATTACCGTGTAATTGATAACTGTTTACTTAGGGCTCTTGCAGTGGAATTATTAAGAGAAGCCATTGTTATGGGGTTAACCAAAAGATTTTATTAAACGTTAATTAAACAATGATTGAATGATGATTAAATGATAATTATTAAATGATGATTATTAAATGTAATTAAACAGCAATCAAATGGTAGTTAAACAGCAGTCAAACACTCTACTACTTACTGCACTTTTAATAATTAAGCTAGCTTGTGTACTGTATACTTTAGATGATTTATTTATATGATTTAGATATAAAATATCACTTACCTCGCTGCAGATAACAAATGCCGGGTAAGGGATCTCTCAACCTCGAGGAGTAACCTTGAGAGGCATCCTGCTCAAGGGGAGATCACCGCCGTGCAGCCTGCTGCCATACAGGAGAGCTCAGCGGGCTCGGAGAGGCTGCAGATACTTACAGAATAAAGTCGTTGACTTGTAGTCAGGCTCCTCTTCGGTGTAGGTGCAGCTGTGTAGCTGTAGGAGCTTTAGTTTCGTCTAGTTCCAGCTCAGGCTGGCACTGTTAGCTCCTGGTAAGACATGTCCTGGATTCCTTAGTTCCTCAGAAGATAGGGCCTAGCACAATTTCTGAAGGTCTGCACAGCAGGGCTGACGTCAGTCAGGCCTCCTTGTCAGTGATGCCTGAACTAAAGTGATGTTCACCTGGTCGAGTTGGTGCAGCCGTCTCAGGGGCTCTCCTTTCATTTCAGCAAGCAGGTAATAAATGTAGTTCTGGCTGCTGCTTTTGTTCTTTCTATGAGGAGACGAACTATATTGTGAACATTACATTTTTGAGACATGAGAAACAGCAGAGTGGAAGAAAGTCCCCTATAATAATTTCCATAAAAATTTTACTTGAAAACATTTGGAAATGATGCAGTTAAATTTCCAGAAAGTTTATGGGGAGCTAGAATCACAGCTGTTGTTACTGTTCTTTAGGCAGTTTGTTCCATTACAGTTTGCTTTTCTAGACAGTCAGATTTTGCTGGATCTTCTGCTGAAATAAAGTAATGATTCTTAACTGGGGCTTGCTTTAATGTTAAATAACACCATGGAGTCTTTCCTTCATTAATATTTGTGGGAACCTGGTCATTATTATACTTGTGCTGCAATCACAAGTGTGAATAGAGCACTGTTCAATGTACCAGACATAACTAATTAAACTAGTTCTGGTGGCCTTGCCGTGAGTCTGTGTTAGATGTTCCAGCCAATAGAGTGAGTACTTGATATCTTTGGTAGTGTCATGCAGATTATACGATGTCTTCACTGGATGGCTACATGACCTACCTATAATAAAAATGGATCAGATACATCTGCATATAACGTGATTGTGCGTTCTGATTGCAATGCCAGTGTATAGTGAAAGGAGATGTTCAAAATAAAGATACTATTCATTTAACAGTTGCTTTCTTGCAGGACTTTTCATCTGTGACATATTTAAGTGTCAGCTGAGCTACTGAATTTTGGTTTGACATTGAGTGATAAAACATCAGAAATTATGATGTGGACATTAAAAATACAACATGGGATTTTTTTCCCTATTCTGAAGCTCCAAAGTTGAAAAAGTTAGTTAACCTTCCTATGCTAGAGCTTTTCCTGCCTAAAAACTATGATAAACCCTAATTTCACCAGCTAAAAGCTGATAGAGCTTCTCAAAGCAGCAGTCCCGCTTCCTGCGCTCTCCTCATCCCCATGTTGACACAAGACTTTGTTTATGGTGAAACTGGTTGGGGTAAATGATCGAGGTGAAAGAGGCAAAGAAAGATGATCTGCTCGACAGGCAAGCTCCCAGTGTGGTTGAACAGACAGATGCTTGAGCTGACCAGGGGAGAGACATTGGAGGTGGGAACTACAGACCACGAAGCAGAGCTGCTTTTTGTTCAATCAGTCTTAAGCAGCAGTTCTGGGTTTTCTGTTTAAAGACATACTTTGTTCTCATTCATTAGAGGGTGATCGGATAAAACACGGCCCTGGAGATTGAAACCATTTGATATCTTTTGGTGGGGCAGTTCTGCCTTGAGGCTCTGCCCAACTCAGGTTCCTGCTGTACTTGTGTGCAGATAATTTTCTAAAAGCCTTTGAAGAGCAACAACAGAAACCATTCTGTGCAGATCATAATTTTGATGTTTCTCTCCTCCTTTAGGAGCTGGAGCCATGCATAGGGTGTATGCAGACTATTGCCAACATCAAGCTCATCAAGAACTGCCAGGAGCCGAACGAAGGGGAATGCCAGCAATGCTACTGTCGTCCCATGTGGTGCCTCACCTGCATGGGCAAATGGTTCGCCAGCCGACAGGATGAGCAGCACCCAGAGACATGGTTGTCGAGCCAAGTGCCTTGTCCGACTTGCCGAGCCAAATTTTGCATTTTAGATGTTTGTATAATACGATGAGTAATACTTTGGTATATTTTAACTTTTTAAATTTGAATGTATTTCATAGTGGGTTTGGTTAAAAGGCCTGTTAGATTTGTTTCTGAGAACTTCACATTCTACTGGGGTGCAAACGCCAAAGCTTTCTTTTACAGTGTTGGAAACAGATGTAAATCTTTTCAGTTCTTCTCCACTTTTACCTATATGTTTGGGTTTTATTCACCAGAAGTCAGTTTCTGGAATTTTATTGCTTTAACCCATATTTTGCTTTCTTATGTCTTAGATGGACTATGAGTATCCCTCTGTATTTCCAGTACTATTCTCTTTTCAAGTTTTAACTTAGGTTAAAGTCTTCAAATTTTTAGATTTAACTTGGGGTTTGATTCTTTGTAAAGGGCTAACTGAGAAAATTACTTTGGTTAGACTTGATTGATACTTTTGTTCTTCTTTAATCCATTTGTAAAGTTCTTATTAATCTTTGCAAGTGTTCAGCAAACAGGTATACCAGTTGTGTTCCTTCTGGTCTCCTCTACTTATAAAGGGAATTGGTTTCTCTAGGCTAAGGAATTTAATCCCTGAAGAGGTACAACTCCCATAGGGACCTTTTATTCCATTAATCTGCCTCTAGCTTATTTTTTGATGAATGTGTTTATTTCGGACAACAGAAGGATTCAGAAACAGACCCCATTCACCTACACTGCGAAGGTTACGCTTCGTTACATTTGTTGGTTTCCAGGAGCTGCATTGCTTAGGGTTTCGATGCTCTTTAGGTGACGGACTTTTTTTTTTATACATTTGAAGGGAGTGCAGCAAACGTGTGAACTGTCTAAATACTCGGACAGAACACTCAGCTGTTTTAGAACCTGTAAACGTTTTCTGAGGGGTAAACTTTCCCTTGAAAGAGATGCCAGGCTCACAAAGATACAAATTGCCATGGTAGATGCCTGAAGAATGACCATCACTAGTTAAAGTTTTTCAGGCTTGCAGTTCTCAAGTTTGTAAATCAAAATCAAAGCATGTTCTATACATTGAAAAGAGCTTTACTCCCAGACCTAAATGTAGTGCTTAGCATTCTAGCTGTTCACTACACACTTCAATGAACAACTATTTGGTGTACTGCTTGGTAGAAAGCCTCAAGCTGCTGGAGAACATGCGTTCGAGTTCTTACACTGACCTGTGCACTGCAGGGGCTGAGATGCAGGTATTTGCTTGCTCAGCTTGTCCATCTCAGAGGGGTAGTAATCTCAGGCAGACAGGTGGGTCAAACAGTGGGAGAAAGGAATATTTTAAAGCTTTGGTCTAGGAGAATGAAAGGCCTAATACTTCCCACCTAAATAATCAGAAGGATCTTACCAGTAAATCACTAGAACAGATAACATGCCAGTGGTTAACTGAAAACGTTTCAATTACCATGATAGGGAAAACTGTTTTGAGCAGGAATAGGTGGCAGGATGTTAAAAATGGTACAAATACTGGAAGCACAAAACTGTGAAAGATTCCATTAGAGTCTCAGCCTAGCTACAGGTTGTGTGGTGAATGCGTGAAACGGTGCTTAGAGCCAGCCAGCCAGGAAACGGCTACGAAAGTGGAAAAAAGCCATATTTTGGAAAGGGATAGGGAACTGAGAACAGATTTGACAGCATCATTTGAGAATTAATGTATATGTTATGTTGTTGGTGTTGGGTGTTTTTGTTTGGTTGGTTGGTTGGTTTTTTTAATAACATGCACTTAAAGTCCAAACTGTTAGGGTTTAAGAACATTAATTGCTTGAGCGTATCTCAGTTGTTACATGTACAACGTTTACTATGCAATTATCTGTACTACCTATTAATAAGGGTGATTTTTCTGTTTTTCGTTACCTGTTGTTTTGGATTGTATAGAGTGAAAATTAGACACTGAGACTGGATTAGTCTCTCCCAAAGAGATCTCTAAATGGCATGTTCCTCTTCATCTGGATAAGATTAAACTGACTTTCTGGGTTTCAGACAGGTTTGTTGACCAGTCTGAAAAATAATAAAAAAACAAGGAGCTGATCAGTGATTGAATTTGAAATATTTTCCACTACTTCTGTGGGAAGGTTATTTTGAAGTTCGAAATGGTCTCTGCAGGATTTTTTAACCTTTGGAACATTCTTACAGGGCTGGGTGGTGTCATCTGACATACACCTCCTCACTACACAGCAGCCTTTACAAATAAGCGTTTTGTACCACTTCTGGAAAGTTTACATAATGTGGCCCAGATACAAGGGATGTGGTCCTTGAAGTAGTTGCAGAAGAGAGGGTAGGATTTTGGAGCTGTGGTTTTGCTATGGACAGTCATTGAATTCCTACAGCTCTTTTCCTGTTTGGAATAAAAATATTTATTGTCAAGATGGGCGAAGTTAAAATTGTCGGGGCTTTGAGAAACTTCGATAATAGATATATGTAGTTGCAGATAGTTTTATACAAGAAAAAAAAACAGTTCAGTTGCCAATAGCATCTCATGTAATAAGGGCTTTAGTCTCCTAATTGCTTGTGCAGTGGAGTTGCTCTTTTCGGAAATCTACTTTGAATTGATAGGAAGTTTTCAGTTCAGTGGAACTTTGCTTTTATTCATCTTGCTTCTTTTGCCAGTGTAACAATATGACAAATAACAGTCATAAACATAGAATACTTTGCATCTTTTAATGGTAGTGCTCTATCCACAGAAGTGCCTCTTAGAAAACTAGTAATAATTACCAAAATAAAATTACGATTTATGGTAATAATAGTGCCTGGCTTAAGTTCCTTGAAACAAGCTTTTTTTTTTTCCCAAGTTTAAATTCTCAGAGTAACCTGGCATGTGTCCAAAGTTGGTAAGCTTCTTAAAGGCTGTGTTAGAGAACCAACTTGTTAAAAATCCATGTGATGTATTCTTTCTAGAGACAGTAGCAGGAGAAACTATGACCTCTCCCTGCACAGTCATGTGATATCTTACTTGTCTTGAGTAAGTCACTGAACATTAAATAGAGTATAAAAATAAGCATTTGTCTTCATGATAGCTTCAGGTCATGATCCGAAGCACCATATGCGTGCATAGGGCTGTTTGTAGAGAAGATCTCCGTTTGCCGTGCAAAGAAGTACATTGCCTCCACCCAGTCTTGGTACATTTCTTAAACAGAAGGGTAGGTTTAGCATCATTGTTTTTACAGCGCTTTTCTAAGAAAAAAAAAATGAACCAAGTACAGCGATGGGCTAAAATATTTACTTAAAGAGTTTTCTTGAATTATTTGTGATTTAGCATTGCTTTTTCAGCTGTGTGCGTGCTTTTCCACATCACTGACTTGTGGGTAGGCAAAGTTAGTAAACCGAAGTACGTTGTGTAAATGTAATGTCCTTACAATAAGATCATGTATGTGTGGGTGCACACTGTCTCTGTAGATACCCCACATGTATGTATACATGTATAGCTCAAATTTCCATACGTGCTGCAGCTGAACAGGTGTTTCTGAAAACATGGTCTGTAGCTATATTATTTATTTCCACAGTTGTATTATTTCTGTAATTGTAGCATTCCAGAAAAAACATTGGCAAAATATGTTATCTGTTGATTTTTTTTTTTTAGGTTAGCATAGTTTGCTAACCCAAAAAAGGCGTTTTTTTTCCGAGCAGGATGTATTTTAAATCCATGATATGAATGCAGTTGTTTACCATGAGGCTTACTATAACTTGAAACCAAAATACCAGCTTATGATGTGATGTCTTCAGTAAGAGTGGTTTTATCGTGTTGAAACTTGATGAACTGCAGCCATGTACCATTCCAGTCAGGTTAAACCTCAACGAGACATAACTGACTAAAGTTTTGAGTGCCATTTCTTAAGAAATACTGACTTTGAGGTATTTAAGGAGTTGAGATATAAATATTCAAGCTCTTACATGCATTACAAGACATTTTCTTCCAAAGATATACCACAGGGTTTGGTATTTGTGGTTGTAGGGTTTTTTTACCTAGGTAACTTAACTGTTTTAAAATGGACAGTGTTATTTGGATTGCCTTTAAGGAAAAGACTTAATGAATCCATGTAGTTAATCTAAAAACTCTCTGAAGAGCTGAATAAAAATACAATTGATTTTGTGTAAGACTTCTGTTTTAAAGTTACGTTTAACAGTTAAAACTCTGTATGGCTGGAAATCAGGCTGACTTATCTATATACAATAATTCAAGCTGAGAACCCGTGAATGGAAAGAGGGCTTCAATTCTCCTGAAGGTGCACTTGCAATTCCTGCTTTGATGAATTTTCCTACTATAACCGGAATGCAGAGGGTTGCGTAAATGTAAGGTGGTGTGAAAAATCTATGTATGTATCTCAGGGGAAAAAAAAACAAAACAACATCCAAAAAAAACCAAAACCCAAATACTTCCCATAACTAGCAGCGGTAAGGAGTGACGCTGGATGCCATGAAGCCAGCAGGAGCGATGACGGGAATTCACGGCCCTTTTCCAGCCCTCTGGCCGTACCGCTGTGGCACCACCCACAGGGACTTTGTGCGCATGCGCAGAGCCGTCCCCTCCGCCCCGCGCGGGAATGCCGCGCATGCGCGCTGCCCACTGCGGCCGCCTCCCGGGTGGGCGGGTCGCGCCTGCGCGCTGCCGGGCGCCGCGGGCGCAGCCATGTTCCGCGGCGGAGG